CAACTTATATTCTGAATATCTTTCCAAGTAAAGCAACTGTCAAAATCCCATATGAACTTTGGACAAGCAAGAAGCTTATTTTGAAACATTTGCACATTTGGGAGTTGTCCAACTAAGGCAAGACTTACGGGCCTAATGAAAAAAGACACTGAATTCTAGAACTGTCAATTATTATTTCATTGGATACTCCAAGGGGTTCCAGATTTTATGATCCCACAACAAGTCAATTTTTGAAGCAAAAAATGCCTGGTTTTTTGAGGATGTAGAGTTTGCGGGGAGAAAAGATTAGGGATTTTATCTTTAAGGAGAAATATATAAATATTCCTTTTGTTGTAATGGGTTATGATTTGGACCAAAGACAAATTTTTGCTCCAGAACTTGTTTAAGAAGCAATTTTCTCATATAGAAACTATATAAAGGGTTATGATCCCCAATTTATATGGAAACTATATATAGAGTTATGTTACTCAATTCATATTCAATTTTCTCATTCTTTGTGGCATCCCACCAACACAAAAATTATAAATAAAACCTTATTGAATAGGAAGATCCATAAAACCCACAATCAAGAATAGACAATCCACATTCAATAATCAAGAAGAACAATTCAAGAATCCATAATCAAGAATCAAGATCCAGAAGACTAGATTTAAAGATTATAATTCAATATTCATCATTCGAGATACAAATCAATGGATCAAGGTATGTTCCACATTAATTATTATTTTTGGTGATTTGATATAGAGATCTTGGCAATTATGTAAATTTTATAAAGTTTAAGTTGCATAAATATTCAAAAGATCATTGTTCTTACTGGTGAAATGGATTTATTTTTTATTTTTATTAATGAATAAGAAGATAATTGTTCTTAATAGCACGAAACACATGCCGTTAGACTTATCTTTTCCTTTTTTCCCTTTTTCATGTATTAGAAGAGGTTTCGTTGCATAACATATAGTAAACTGAAATAATACCGACAATTAGTTGGATACGGAAGTAGAAAGTAGTTCTGCTGATATGATGAAATCCTGCTAGGAGCTATTTGATACCATTTTTTTCAAAATGTATTTTTCTCTTTCTTCTTTTCAACCACACATTATTTATTAAAATAATGTTACACATAAATCAAAAAAATTTCTTTATTTTTCAACCACACATTTCCCATCAATTTACTATTTAAAAATGTATTTTTAGATAAAAATGGCTTCCAAACACTCCATATGTAAAACTTGGCAATTATTCTTGATGTTTGATTTGGTTTTCCATTTGTCATTTTAAATTTATACACCATGCTCCGACGTTCGAGTCATTCAATTGGAGGGATAGTACCTTAAATGTGAAATTGTTTAGCACTTAATGGTTGATGACAATATAATGAATCTTAAACCAATGTGTTGAATCAATTCAAAAAGAAGAAAAGAGAAGAGAAGAAGAAGAATAAAGAGAGAACCAAAATCTATTGAGCCATTGGAATTCCAGTTTTGAAAGAAAGTAAAAACAGTTTTTATACTACTACAAGGAAACCTAAAAATAATAGGAAACCTACAAAAAGGAAATTACATATTATGCTAAAATAAATAACTAAATAACTAACACACGTTTTCATCCCCCTTCAAACTTAAGATGTTAAAGCAAGAAGTAGTGAGAGTTTGTCATGCAAAAAACGAAAACGATGAACCGGATGAGACTTAGTGAAAAAGTCAGCAAGCTGCAACGATGAAAAAACAAAAGGTAGGGAAATGGTGCCAGTCTGCAGATGATGACGAACCAGATGACAATCAATCTCAATATACTTTGTGTGTTCATGGAACACGGAGTTGTGAGAGATCTGAATGACACTAGTATTATCACGAGACATGGGAGTTGGGGAGGAATGAGAAACACCCATGTCTGCAAGTAACCATCGCAACCACACAATCTCAGTGGTGGTGGATGCCATAGCTCGATACTCTACTTCTGTACAGGAGCGGGAAACAATAGTCTGCTTCTTACTTTTCCAAGAGATAAGTGAATTACCCAAAAATACACAAAAACCCGTAGTAGACTTGCGATCAATGGGGTCGCTGGCCCAATCAGCATCAGAGTAGGCATGGAGCACTAAGGATGAGGTCGATGGAAACAAAAGACCCTGAAAGCATGTACCACGAAGATAACGCAAAATACGAACAACTGCTACCCAATGAACTGTAGTAGGAGCTAAAACAAATTAACTAACAATGTGAATAGCATAAGCAATATCAGGACGTGTGATGGTAAGATAAACTAGACATCCAAATTTCTCATCATTGCACTCCAATATGAGTAACTTTTACCATTTAGTCTGACACTAATGGATTGAAGTGAATCATCTCTTTCAGTTGCTATCATAAAGTCAATAAATAACCAACTATGAATCAACGAAATTATCCAATTTTTTAAAGGAACCCGACAATAACCAACGTACTTCCACAAACTATAGTTGAAATAGACTGCACAGTATACGTATAACCAAAGTAATAATACCAAAAGATCAGAAATTTACCAAGAAACAAACTGCCTTTTGGAATCACCCCGAAAAAACGACGCACGCACCCTCACGCACCACCACCGTCTCTGCGCGTGGTCCTCACGCGCCACCGCCACGCGCTGCCTAACACCGACACGCGCCTGATCGGACGTTTCGTCTCAATCTGTTGAACAAGGATCTGGTCTCCGTTTTCTTAATGGATATCCAGTTTGGTCGGAATCTTGATTTTAAGTTGCGGTCGAATAGGTTTTTTCATACAAACTTTCTTTGTCTGATTTCTATCTTGATTTCAACACGACCCAATATGTTGAATCAATTCAAAAAGAAGAAAAGAGAAGAGAAGAAGAAGAAGAATAAAGAGAGAACCAAAATCTATTGAGCCATTGGAATTCCAGTTTTCAAAGAAAGTAAAAACAGTTTTTATACTACTACAAGGAAACCTAAAAAAAAGGGGAAACCTAAAAAATGGAAATTATATATTATGCTGAAATAAATAACTAAATAACTAACACACGTTTTCAATGGTCACACATCTTTTGGGATATGGTATGATTATTCATGATGTCGATATTAATAATATGGTGCTTTAGACTTTTTTTTTTCACCTTAAAACAATTCAAAAATCTACATTGCACATTTCTCAGTTTGCCTTAATGTTTTACCTGCATCTTTTGTGGTTCTCTTCTTCATTCTCGTAACCCCTTTGTTTCTGGAGTTTTCAATCCCATAATAGTTTATGACACTCTCGGGAAGAGATTTACATCTCTGATTTCTGGTAGCTTTATCTTCTTTATTTTCTTATACATTAAAGTAAATGTTAATAATAAGTTCTGTTAATTTCTCCTTATTCTCAAGAATGTATGTGAGTTTCTCAGTGGCCATTTGCACCATCTTCATCTAATCGTGGTTCATCCAGAAACAAAATAATCACTTCTATTGCGTGAGCTTCTTAGCAGCTTATTACACTATTATTTTCTCAGATTTATTTGCTTTATACTGGAATGGAAAAGAAAGCTAATGAATAAAAATGTTTTTTCTATTCTTGAAATTCTTTCCTACTTGTCATGTTTGCATTTTCCCATTTTTCTTGTTATTTTAGCCACTTGTTTTAAGCTAATCTCAATATTTAATGTTACTCTTTTTGTAATTTTATGATTTTATACATTTTACCTAATTTATTACTTTACGTTTTAGTCATTTCCTTTTTCACATTTGCTAAGGGACTTAGACGAGATGCGGGTACTAAGTTTGATACTCATGTAGTCGATCTGCTGGAGTTCGAATAATTCTGTGAAATCATTATCATCTCTGCCATATTTGGTATAACTGTACCTCTTGTTAACATATCTTGTGATGTTTGTTTATACACTTGACTCTTATTTTTTGTTGTTTTTTGTCCATCTTCCTTGTATATCAATTAAATACACTCTTTGTTTTCCAGATACTTAATTAACGCACGCATCTCTCGTAAATCCTTAATATTTAACATACTACATTACTTTTAAAAAAATGACAACTCATGCATTGTATGTGTATAAAACTAGTAACAATAAAAAAAAAAAAAATTAGTACTGGTAGAAAAAAGATAAGAAAAGGCTATTTTAATTAATATTTTTCTTTTCTTACTAATTGCCTAATTCGGCTCGAAACTCTTATTGGTTAATTTTTTGGTAGGCCGATTCACTTCAAAAATATTTCTTAAAAGTAATTTTATCTAAAGATTATATGAAACTGATTTTTGTAAAAAATGTATGCGTAAAAGCAGGAAAATCATGAGGAAACAATTTTTTTGGGAACAGTGTTTAATTAAAAATTGTAAAAAATAAAATTCTAAAAATTAAAAAGTAAAAAGTAAAATTTCTAGAAAAATTAAAATAATAAAAAAGTAAAAATAGTTCAATCTCTTAATGACTATTTATGTAAAAATTCTAAAAAAAATATTTAAATGAAAATAGATAAAAATATTTTTGAGTCCACGCCATTGATTTTTATTTTTATTTCCTATATTTTAGACTCATTATTTATTTTTATTGACTTTTGTGGAAAGAAAAAATATTGTAAAATTAACTAACTTTAAAAATGTATATTACTTAATAATATATTAAAATAAAATTATTTTATTTTTACTATATAATCAAATTTTATGAATTAAAAGGTTATGAAATAATACCTCAAAATTTCAAATTAAACATAATTTCTAGTTTTCTATTTTAAGAAATAAATTTTAAAAATGACAAACCAAACATATTTTTTTGAAATTTACTTCAAAATCGAAGACTAAGCCCATATTTGCCAACTATTAGTTTTCGAGGGAATATGAAATGCAGAATAATGATATTTTTGGATAATTTGTGATTAAAAAATAGGAATAATTAAAAATGAATTAAAAAAAAAGAGCTTTTGTTTACAATAAAATATTTATTTTTTTCATATAAATTTTAATTTTTTTTCTAATTTTTAACCATACATTCAAATATTCAAAAACTCGTTTAACAAGAAAAATGATTAAACAGAGGCTAACTAGGTCGAGCATCTGAAACGCAGGTTCAAACAGGAAAGTTCGTACATCCCTCTGTGTCACTCATTCGCACGCGACCTTCAAATCTGAGGATCATTTGCCTCGGGTAAATCTCTGCTCTCTCCCTACACTACACACTATCCACGCAATATATGTAAGTATATGCGAATTTAAACTTTTTTTTTTATTTTTTTATTTTTGGGTTGTGGTTGAGATCTCAGGTTTTTCCAACGGGGTGGCAATATTCTTTGCTTTATTTTGTTTTCCACTTAAGAAATTTAGAAATTCCACTTATGCAGATGATGCATTAAATTTTTTTTTTTTTCATTTATTTTCGCAGGTCTAAGCTCTTTCTGGAAATTCATATTAATTTTTGTTAGATGGGTTATATTCATAATGGTTTTGAGGATTTTGGAATACGATTATTAAAAGCTTTTTGCAATACCAGTATATTGTGTTTCTAAAACATATTCTGTAACTTCATTAGCGTGTTTAAGATTTTCGGCTCTGAAATTCTTACTACTTTCTCCTTTAAATAGTTCCCCGTCTCGTTACGATTTTCAAGATGTTGGATTTTATTATTATTATTATTATTATTATTATTATTATTATTAATTTTTCATTTTATGAATGAAATTTGGTCTTTTCTATGGTTTCATGTTCCTGACCCATTTACATTTTCCATTGAAGCTCAATTGCTGCTCAACAAATTTGAGACACAATGTCTATGGTGGATGAGCCCTTGTATCCAATAGCAGTACTTATAGATGAGCTAAAGAATGATGATGTGCAACTGCGGTTGAACTCTATACGTAAGTTATCCACCATTTCACGCGCACTAGGGGAGGACAGGACCCGGAAAGAGTTGATCCCATTTTTAAGTGAGAACAATGATGATGATGACGAGGTTCTGCTTGCGATGGCCGAAGAACTGGGTGTGTTTATTCCTTACGTTGGAGGGGTGGAGCATGCTCATGTGTTGCTCCCACCTCTGGAAAACCTTTGCACCGTTGAGGAGACTTGTGTGAGGGACAAATCTGTGGAGTCATTGTGTAGAATTGGACTACAGATGAGGGAAAATGATTTGGTTGATTGGTTTATCCCTCTTGTCAAGGTTAGATAAATAACCCATGTTTTGTCAACATTCATGGTGCTGTTTCTGCAACTTTATCTCTGTTAGGTGTCAAATTGGAAGCTGCTGGTACATTTTGGGGTTGATGACAAATTGTTATATCATCATGTGATGTATGCTAGACTTCTGGTTTGCTATTTTTCTTCTTTGCCGAGACCTGGCAATATGTTCACATTTAGGTCTGAAGTATAAGAAGCAAATAACTGGAACACTCATTGTCCTCTAGATATTGCCTCAAATAGGGAACATGCAACTCTTAAGATGCCTTTTCGGATCAAACGCATAGGGCTGAGAGAAGGAAACTGAAGGAGTTGTTCTGCTTTTGGCATAGCATGTTACTCCAGGGGTGGCTAGTAGTATTAGCTTTGTATCTTTGTTACATTAGTATGTGTATTGCTTTATCAAGTTTTATGTTTAACTTCTTTGATGAAGTATCCAGTATTGCCAATTATGGCATTTCTGTTTTCATTTTTGTTTATCTTCCATGCTTGGACATGGTGTTATTTCTGCTTACAGAGGCTGGCAGCTGGTGAGTGGTTTACAGCTCGAGTTTCTGCTTGTGGACTGTTTCATGTTGCTTACCCCAGTGCCCCAGATGTGTTAAAGACAGAACTAAGGTCAATATACAGCCAACTGTGCCAAGATGATATGCCAATGGTGAGAAGGGCTGCTGCAACTAACTTGGGGAAATTTGCTGCTACTGTTGAAGCTTCTCATCTCAAGACTGATATCATGTCGATGTTTGAGGATCTTACTCAGGATGGTAATTAATTTCTTAGTTACTGCTTGCATGATTTTTTAGTTACAGTAGACGAAAATATTGTCCTCTGAGCAATTGGAGATGTTTCTAAGCTACATGTACATGGGTTTACTTTAGAAAACCTATCTAGAAGTTGTATATGAGGAGAGGGAAAACTTCTCCCTAACGAAGTTTAGTTAACATGGTTCAATGAATTGCTTATACATTTGACATTTGATCCAAGAGGAATTGGAAACATGAATATTGTAGATTAGACACTAATATGTAAATTTATTCCAGAGAAGTTAGTGATGCCCTTATAATGAGCCTTGTCAAATCTAGCAATGAATGAACATGAAAAAGGATTCATGTATCCTTCCTCAACTTCAATATTGCCCAAGGTGCTTCGTATTAGGCATTCATTAAATTCTTTGAAGCTTCTGCTTTAAGTGCCCTTTGTTTAGGGTTAAAGCTTAACTTATGCAAGGGACACACCTCAGGACATAAGTTTCAAGCTGTCTTGGACATGCACTCTATAGTCCTGGCCTTTCTAGTCTTCATTTTATCAACCGCAGCTTTTTGGGCTGATTTCATGGTTCATCATCATCTTATTGAGTTGTTCAAACACAATCCAATCCCAAAGGTAAAAAGAAAGATTTTGTTGACTAGAGAATAGTACAGTTGAAGTTCTTGCCCTTGAAAGAAACAAATAACTTGGAAAAGCTAATTTTAGTTATCAGCGAACAGCAGGATTTAAACTCACACATGTTAGATTCATCCTGTCTGCTCAACCCCTCTACTCCCACAAGTGATACCCCAAGTGAATTAGCAACTTTTTAGTGGTGGACAGCTGGTGTCAAGAAACATGTAACTTCGCTCTTCTCTTTCTTACATTTTTCTTGTTTTTCTTGTTTTTGTGTTTTTGTTTTCTCCTCTCTTGAAACTAAATTTTATAGTCAGTAGTTTCACTTGTTTTATAGTTATAATTCTAGTTTTTGATTATATTACTTGTTTGTTAATCTAGTATTTTCTACCTTGTTAATCATTTTATGTGTTTAATTAAAAATTGGATTTTATTTTTATTTTTTGAAATTTTTTATGGATTCTTCATATGATTTATGTTTATTAGGGATATAATTTTCCATTTTTAGAATTTTAAAAATTATTTTAGTGCTTCTGTTGAGGCATAAACTTCAAAGTGCCTAGATGCTTTTGCCTCACCTCACAGGGGTACAGTGCATTGATACAGAATTTAGCATGTTTAGAAGTGGGCTTCTAGCATATTTTATCAAGAATACATGATAGATATGAGGTGGACACGCCAAGGGAATATGGAAGACATCTAGGATAGGAAGCACTCTACTTTTGGGTTCAAAATGTACTTTTAGTTATAGAGAAATTTTAGGAGAAATTTTTGTAGATTTTGATTAAAAGAAAACTAAAAGAGGATAACATTTAATTGGATCATGAAAAGAAATTTTAAAGAGAGTAATTCCCCAAGATCTGTGGCACCTTGGTTGTTTAGCTACTTATAATGTGCGCTGATAAACTATATCAGCTTTAGTTTCTTCTTTTCTCAAGCAAAACAATTCAAAAACTCCATATTTATTTTATTTTATCATTATAAACATGTTTAAATCTTGGATTAAGATTTTCAGTTATCAGCTACAGAGAATTTTGAGTGACATGCTCGAAAACATAAATATTTTATTCAACATGCCTGCTTAGTGTAAATGCTTGGCTAGTGTGTTCATCTTAATATTTGTATCGTTGTGTTTAACATTTTATTAGATGATCTAGGATTTGGACTATAGATGAGATTGACCCCTGAATCATACATTATTTAAAGCCTATTAAGATGGATCGATATTGTGGAGAGAACGGAGGTTCTCCTCTCGCACCAAATTTTGTATATATATATATATATATGTGAGTAGTGATGAAATACAAAGGTTGGTTGCTGAGCTAATATGCACTTCGTTAATGCCACTTTTCAGATCAAGATTCTGTTCGCTTACTCGCTGTTGAGGGTTGTGCTGCTCTTGGCAAGTTATTGGAGCCTCAAGATTGTGTTGCACACATTCTCCCTGTAATTGTCAATTTTTCGCAGGTACCCTTCGAACCAGAATAAATTTTGCATTGTAGTAATTCTAATAGTTGGACCTGCTTTCAGAGATTATCATTGTAGCCAGTTTTAAAGAATGGGTAGTTCCTTTAAGAGGTTTTGTGTTGTCTAGGTATTTGAGCGGATAATTTGTTAATACACATCATCCTTCCTTGTATATGCATTCTGTTATTATCATTTTTTTTTTTGTCAAAATAATGACTTATCTATCTTTGATAAATTCGTATTAGGAAATATTCCCACGAAAAAAGAGAAGAGTTCCATTGCATATGAAAACTGAAAGGAAATTAACAATGGAAGCTGAATTTCTTTACCCTTTTTTTGTGATATCATTTTCAATAATAGAACTGACATTAGTGTATATCTTTGTTACTTGAACGGTGGGCATGATAAACATATTAGAACCTGCTTATTTAATTGTACTTGTAGAAGTTTGCATTTTGTATGAGTAGCATCAATGTTTTGATAAGTGCTTGAATGCCTCGTGTGAGATTTCACTCTATGGCTGAAAGCTATGCCTTTGCTCCTTGTCTTACAGAGCTGTGTAAGCCTCAAGGTTAGCCTCAGGGCAACGTGATGTGTGCTTGTTTGTCTTTTCCTTGCTGTGCTATTTATATGATCTAGACTTTTTGGGTTGGTATTTTAAATAGCTTAAGGCATTTTAAGGGTTTTTTTATTTTTTATTTTATTTTTAAGCACAAGTTAACATAAACTAGCAAAACAAGAGAAAACCCAAGGAACCTACAATTGCCATTCCCATTGCAACGTTTTGAGAACCGATCACAAAAGACATTTGTCTCGTAACTTCACTCTTTTCTATCTTTTGTAGTTTTCATGTTGATGTCCTGTGTATGTTTTCCTCCTCCTCATTATTTATTTATTTTTTTAATGTACTTTTACAAGGAAGTTATTAGTTATGGGGAAGGGAAAGGGGAAGGCACCATTGCTAATGGGTGATAAGGAAAAAGAATGTGAAGAAACTGATAATCATGAGTTGGGAAGTATTGACATGTAGCCGGTGTTGATGTCTCGATGTCCGGCATGTGTCGAACATTGATAGCCGCTGATGCTTGTCGAAGGTGCTTTGCGACATTTTGGAGACGAAGAAATGCAGACAGTTGGAAGAAAACATAGTTGAAAGAAAATAGACGGCTGGAAGAAAGTGACGGCTATCTGTGAGGCAGAAAAGAAGAAACGAAGTGAGGAAGGAAAGAGGAAATGAAGTGATGGTTGAACTAAACCTTATTGAAATGTAATTTGAAATTCAAATTGTTAGGCCCAAAACATTAAATGCTCTGTAAAATATATTTTCCAAGTATGTACTTGATATACTATTTTTACACTTCACCCTTTAACAAAGCAAAACGTAGATTTTTATGTGGATCAAATTTTGTTACCATTTAATCTACCATTTTACCTAAACAAAATAATAATAATAATAATAATAATAATAAATAATAAATAAAATAAACTTACAAAGGAGGTAAAAAATTTAAAATATATTTAATTTTTTATATATGATGTTATAAGTATAAAAATTATTACTTTAAGACGTAAATTAAAAAAAATAACACTTTAATCAACGTGTTGACGATGTATCATGTTGGAAGTTTTTCATAAAATCATGTGTCAGCATGTTAGTGTCAATGCTTCTTAGATCATGAAGATGCTGGGCTAAGAAGCACCCAGACGTGAGTGTTCAACACGATAAGTGTCGGACATATCGATATGATTTTTTGAAAATTTTTTGACACGACTTAAATACTACGAGGAAGAAAGGATTTGACTTCTTTTGTAAGTTTAATTTCTTATTGGGTTAAAATGGGAAATAAATTAATCCACAAAAAAAATTTCATGTTGCTTTGTTAAATGATAAAATTGCAAAAAAAAAGTAAATTAAATATATATTAAACAAAGAAAATTTACAGAACATTTAATGTTATTAGGTCCAACAATTTGAATTGAAAATTTCATTGGTTTACTTCTATAGACTCCATCGTCTCTTCATTTCTTTTCTTATTTTTAGTCACGTCTCTTTATTTTTTCTTCATCATCTGCATTTCTTTTTCATAGTCACCGTCTGCATTTCTTTTAGCCATTTGTTTTTCTTAATGTTTTTTTCCGATCATTAACCATGAGGGGTAGCTCAGTGGTCAACCCTGGGTTTGCTTCTCAATGATCACTAGTTCAACTCCCACTGAGGTGATTATCTAGCTGTAAGTTTCAGGGTCTTGTGGGATTAGTTGAGGTACGCGTAAACTGACCTGGACACTCACCGTCATAAAAAAATATTTTTTTCCGGCCATCTACACTTTTTCGTCTTTGACACGTAGCAAGGACCTCAAACACGCTTGGGCGATGTGTCGGAGATGTGCTGGTCATCGATACGTGTTGAATGCCTATATGTTGACGTCAAGAGTGTGTCCCAGATGTTGGGGGAATCAAATTTGCTGATGATTCTCAAAGAAATCCAACTTTTTGACCTTTTCTAGTTCTAGCAGTGGATAGCAATAAGAGAATCAAATATGCCGATGATTCTGATAAGGATAAAAACTTTGGCTTTTTTCGAACTCTAGTGGTAGTTTACAAATGGGAAATTAAATGTCGATTCTCATAAAGATCCAGACTTGGGCTTTGTTCTAAATCTAAAAGTAGATTATAATTTTTTGTTATGTGATTACTAATTTAACGATTATTATTTGTTGCTTATTTATCAACTTTATGTTTGTTTGCCAGTTAGCTTTTTTTCTTTGTTAATTTGTTTACTATGGATTGGTAATATAGTTTTTGGTTTACTTGAGCATATTTTCGTAATTTTTATATTTTGATTTATTTATAGCTTTATATTGTATTTAGACTTAGGCCTCAAATTGCCTCAAAGCTTTTGCCTGACCTCACAGGGTAAAATGCTGTGAGGACTCTAAAGGAATAGTAGAAAATAATCATTGCAATAGGATTTAGTCTATGTTTGGTTCATGTTGATAAATTGTTTATAAGCACTCAAAGCTAGTTTTTATTCTCACATCTTGTAGAACCCACATGTACATCCCACTTATCCACAACTCATTTCTATTTATTCATAGTTTAAATCATTTATGAACACTTCTCAAACATGCTTTTGGATATGCTGTTGGACTAATTCAAGGTGAAGTAATTGATGGTTTCTAAAGAAGTGTTTCCTAGCATGGAACGAATGCATTATGGAAAGCTTTTGGTGTTCACTCTTTGTTGGCTGCGATGTAAGCTACTCTTTACAGGCAGTACAACCAGCTCCCCTTTGTAGACTACAGATCTCAAAAGAATACCCCCTATCTAAGTGAAGTACATATGCAGTTGACCCTTAGGAATACCTAACAAACAAATGTTTTAAAGGAAAAAATATCCTGGCTCCCCTGCTGAGGCTGGCAAAAATAATCATTGCCTTCTGGGTAAATTTACCTGGGGCATACATCTGTAGGGGTATAATTAACTGTGTTAATTTTTTTGTCCTCAAAATTTGGTGTTTCCCTATTATGACATCTTGCTCTTAAAATTATTTAGTTGTAGACTAATATATTGCTCCTAATAACATCAGAAAAAAAAAACTTATTCAATGGAAAATCATTGTTGAACACATAATAAGATCAACTTGCCATTTTACCTACATTTTGGATATCTTTTTATTAGTCTAGATTATTCAATTATTCCCTTTTTTTAGTTAGTTTAGAAGTGCCAAAAAAATGTACAATCTCATTCTCTTTATGCCTTGCCATGGAAGGGGTGAAATGCTTCTTAATATTTTTACCTTTAAAACACTGGAAATCTTAAACCTTCCTGATAAGATCTCTACTTTAGAATCCCTTCTGTTATGTTCTCTTTGCTTGCTCTGGTGTTAAGCAAATTTTAAATTTTCGAGTTGATTTCAGAGATTGTCAATTACATCAAGTGCCAACTTAATGATGATTCATGAAATATATGTACTTTCTGCAATGTTCATTTAGATTTCCTGGCGTGATGGGTCTTTTTGGCTATTATGACAATGGAGTGACTATTCTGCTCTTAAATTTTGAAACACTTATAACCTTTTGAAAGGGGAGATAGCAAGGGAGCAATAATATTTAGCCCATGTTTGGTATTGATTTAAATCAAATTTTAATCTAAATCATAGTCAAACAATTAATATTAACCACATTTCATGGGTCCCACAATTTTTCAACCACATATTTCAAAATTTTTTATCAAAATCTACTAAAAATCTAATTTTAATTCCCACCAAACAAGGGCTTAACGTGGTCTGTATGGTTATATCTCAGGACAAGTCTTGGAGGGTTCGCTACATGGTTGCAAACCAGTTGTATGAGCTTTGTGAAGCTGCAGGACCTGAATCTACTAGGTAACTTTTTATATCTGGCTTCGATTTTGCTCTGCCTTATATGCTGGTTAGACATATGTCCGATGGCTAGAATTATATGCCGTCTGCCTAACAGTCTATGATATTAAAATCTAATCTTTTGTCCCTCACTTCTTTGTTCTATTTATATTATCTCATGAAATGTGGACAGGAACTTGAAATGTGATAATGGCATGGTTTAGCCTAGTTAACACGAAATGTCAAAATATTAAAGGTTTACACCCGGAGGCACTGAATTGACAAATGGGTATCTGCATATATTTGATTGTTGTATAATGTATTGGTGCTGTTTATAGTATTCCGTCATTTGGATATGTTTATTTACCCACAATTTATCGCCATGTGAATATGTTTGCCTGCAACTTGCTGATATTTGAATAATTGAACACACGATTTGCCAATATTTGACTTAGTGTACTAAAAATTCTTAATTATTATTGTGAAGCTGAAGTGCCTATGCAAGTTAATGCTAGTACTTGTATCCTTTTATTGTTATCTTCATTGTGTTCCTTTTAAATGTGATATTAAGGATGGATGTTCACCTGATCATCTCGAATCTTAATTTTTTAATTTTGTTATATATATAGTTAATTTTGTTATATATAAAGTTCTATATAGGTGTCTAACAGATTCCTGAAATATTAAAAATCTTTTATATATGGACATTGTCATCAGAATATTGAACGTGTCCAATAGTGGTCAGAGGTTCAGCGTTCAACTTGTTTGACATAAACATGTAGTCTTCTTGGGACTGTCCATGCTATCTAGTCTTAAGCCTGGCATCTAGTGAATATCGTTATAAATTAACTATATGTATGATTATTTTAGGTTCAAGGATGAATATTAACGATAACTTACTCTTTTATTTTCCTTTTTTTATCTCATGGTGGAAGTTATCATCATAGATGATTTGTGATAATAATATGTTTTGAAGGATGGATTTGGTTCCTGCTTATGTACGTCTACTTCGAGATAATGAAGCTGAAGTACGCATAGCTGCTGCTGGGAAAGTCACCAAATTCTGTCGGATTCTGAATCCTGAACTTGCTATTCAGCATATTCTTCCCTGTGTGAAGGTATGAAATCTATGTCACATGGACTTCGTACTGGTGTTGAATTGTTTGTCCAGGGTCAGATTTTTCAAAAATCTACTGTTATATCATAAATTCAAGGATGCATATGCCATACGCTTCGTAGTATTTGGCGTCTAAAATGGGTATTTGATCCTGGATACAATGCTCCAGGAAATATAGATGCATATGAAATAGAGTTTCGCAGAACAAAGTTTATTTTACCTGTTGGTGAACAATATATTTTTCAAATGATGTGCTCTTTCCTTTCACTATCTTATTATCAGAGGTAACATCTTGTAGGAATTGTCATCGGATTCTTCGCAACATGTCAGGTCTGCTTTGGCTTCTGTTATAATGGGAATGGCTCCGGTGTTAGGAAAGGTAAGAATGATTTCCTTGGAGTATGCTGTTAAGTTGGCTACTTGGCATAGTTATTTGATACATGAATGCTTATCTCTGATAGTAAATCATGTACTTCAAGAGAATTGAACTAACGTAGGGAATAATGCAAAATTTGACTAGCCAGATGATATTCATTGCCATTTACTGCAGTAACATTTTTTTTCTTGCACAAGGTATATAACTTGAGGAGAAATGAGAAGATCTAGTCATGTGGTTAGAACCCCCTGCATCAATGATCCTGGTTTAGAATAATAGTCTAAAAAAGGCTCAAGCCTTTAGAAATATATCCGATTGCACTTGGAACCTATGATGATTTAAAAAAAAAAAAAAAAAATACCGAGAAGGCACCACCAACACTAATTAAATGCTTTAAAATTCTTCATTTATACACTAAAACGTTTAATTTTATTCTTATTATTAACTTTTCTTGCTGAAATCATTTAAATAAGAATACCTAATAGTTATATTATAATAATTTTGAGTTAAATCTATATAATACTATCGATAAAGAAAGAAATAAGATTATGATAGAGTGTCCGGTGAGTGTTGATAGCCGACACGACACGACACGCTTTGGACATGAACATGTCCTCCTAGTTGAAGTGTCCTTGCTACACAATTTGGAACAAGTGACAATAAGGTTTTCCATTTGATTGAGTGATGCACTTGCACAAACCTAACAAAATAGCGGTTGGAGGTGTGCGAAAACTTGAACAGCGTTGATGAAAGCCTAGATCAAATGGGTATTACACCCAGAAAATCATGAACGGCTATGATACCACAAAATGCAATCTGGTTTTATTGATACTTATTATTCAAATTATGCATGAATATATACATAGTTGTTAGTTTTTTTTCTCAGAAACTTGTGTGTTCTGTTTAGACATAATTCTAGGAACACTTACCGCTTCTAATATTCTACAAAATTTCTATGGGTACAAGTCTAGAGTCAGTGATAGCCTACATATTTACGTAATTACTGCCGAATATATAGAAAAAGATTTTAAGAGAAAGAAATTTACAAGATTAGGGAATTATTATGACAAAATTTCAACGTTTTTCATATATATTTATAAGAATTATTTCATGCGCCTATATTGTGGTTGTGGAACTACCTGTTGTCAGCTTTTGTTTGGGAGCCATTTTTGCTCCCAAAATGCATATATTAATCATCAAGTGGGCCACTGTATGGCACACTCGATACTAGTGTTTGATATTTATGGCATTTTTCCTTTATTACCCATGTTTTGTTATTTGTGCCTTTTTTTTTTTTTTTAAATTTGACATCTTGCCATCCGGTTTGAATATTCAAAGGGCAAATGTGGAACTTTAAATTCAAAAGCCTAATCTTGTGCTTCTAGTTGTCAGATATGTGTCAGATATAATGTTATAAAATAAATTGCAAGGGTTATTTTTCTTCTAAAAATGAGGAAAACATGGCTCCCAAACTTGTGCTGAGTCACATTTTACCTGTCTCTTGATGTGCACACTTGGTATCTAAGGAAACAGAAGTTATATTCGCTCTCAAACTAATAGTAAATGTTACTTGAATGCAAGGAAAAAAAGAAGAGAACTTATCATGGATGTCTCCGCGTGTCCGTGTTAATGCATCTTAGCTGGAGATGAGGTTTGGGGGTGGGTGGTGAGTGGGGATTTGCTGTGATCCATTGCTGTTCCATCTCTATTTTGAAAAGTTGTGTTGGACTCCTCTCTTTCCTGAGAGGAGGAGAATTCTTAACTTCTTTTCATCTTAAATGGCAATTGAAATTTGTTATGGAAATATGTGAATTTTTTTCTCCCCAGCTTCACCATCATTGCTCTATTGTGGTTTTTTCTCATCTACAATTTGTTGGTGGGACTGTCATGATTGCTGTGGGTTTTTAAACATTTAGTTCTATGGTTGATGCAGGATGCTACAATTGATCAACTTCTTCCAATATTTCTTTCCCTTCTGAAGGATGAATTTCCTGATGTACGCCTCAATATTATTAGCAAACTGGATCAAGTCAATCAGGTTTGTGGTGTTTTGAGATGTGGACCTAGTTCCAATCAACTGTTTTTTGCTCAATTACTTTGTCAACCTATTTTTACTTGGTTCCCCATATTGATTTTTTTTCGATCTGTGGCTTATGCAACTCCTTTTTTAATTGGTCTTTCTTTACTTTGTTCCTATGGATTCAAGATGATTATTCTTAGTGTTGAATTTAAAACTTCTTAATCTTGCAGGTTATTGGAATTGATTTGCTATCCCAATCTTTATTACCAGCTATAGTTGAGCTAGCAGAGGATAGGCATTGGAGGGTTCGCCTTGCAATAATAGAGTATATACCTTTATTGGCCAGTCAGTTGGGTGTGGGATTTTTTGACGATAAGCTTGGTGCCCTTTGCATGCAGTGGCTACAGGACAAGGTTGGTGTCTCTCTCAAGATCATCTACCAAGTTGGAATGTAGAGTTCTACAAAATAAGATACAGAACCATCTGCTGTTGGTCATGTTTTCACCTTGCAGTTATTTAGGGCGTGTTTGATAGGCCTTTTTTTCCATGGAACTTGGAAATGAAATTCCATTTTCCATGTTTTTGAGAGTTTGATTTGCCAAATTTTCCAAGTAATTGGTTTTCTAGCTTTGCCCTCGTGTGACCGGCTTTTCCTTGGTTTTGAGGAATTCACTTTCTCATGGGGTTGGTGGAAATTAATTTTCCATGCAACTTTTTAATTAATTAATTAATTTATTATTATTATTTTTTGCAATGAAAACAAGTTCTAAGAACAATTGTAAAAGAGGATATCCCTTAAATTGACAATTTTCATGTAAAATAAAGCCAAACGATTACCAAAATATAGATATTTTTGGATCTTTTAATTTAATTGAATTTAATTAATTAATTTATTTTTTAGCAATGGAAACAAATTCTAGGAACAATTGTAGAAGTGAATATCTCTTAAATTGACAATTTCTATGAAAAACAAAGTCAAACGAACATCAAAAGACACTTTTATTTCAACATGTTTCAGGTGAAAAATTATACCAATCAAAAACTATTAATTGACAATTCTACATAAAACAATTTTAGGCAAATCAATTTCCTGAAATTCATTTTCTTTTCATCCAAATTCCATCTTTGCAATCAAACGGACCCTTAGATTATCTTTAAAACCTGCTTCCTTGCACCAAAAATGGAAAATATTTGATGGCAGCTATCTGTTACCATTTGAAATATGTCTATCTGCGACATCTTTTTCTTTTCCATTTCATACATAGCTTTGATTTTATGTGGTGAATGAACAAATATCTTTCTTCCCTACACCTTCTCTTATTTATTACCCTTTGTCATCTGTTAATGCAAATTGAGGGGAAAAGGCATTCAAATGGAGAACTCTTGTGCCTAACATTCGGGTATCAATGCAGGTTTACTCTATTCGAGATGCTGCTGCTAATAATTTGAAACGTCTTGCTGAAGAATTTGGTCCAGAGTGGGCAATGCAGCATATAGTTCCTCAGGTTTGTGGATGACGTTATTAGAAAATGCTTCCCATTTTATTGTGTTTGCGTGTTTGGATTGGAAATACTAATCCTTTCAAATAACTTATTGCTGATATATCTGCCCATATCTTTTTCCTGTTAAATGCAGTCAAAGATGTTTTGCATATTATAGTTTTCAGCTTAGCCCTTGTTTGAGTCCCATTCTGGGAAAAAAAAAAAATAATAATAATAATAAATAATAAATAATAAAAATTGAATAGTGTATTGATAGAAAATGTGTGGTTAAAAAATAAAGAAAAATTTTGGATTTGCGTGTAATAATATTTTAATAAAGAATGTGTGTTTGATATGGGGTCAAATCACTGTTGAAGAATATGTTTTGATGAAAATAATGGGGCTCAAACAAGGGCTTAGTTGATTTAGGTCAAATGTTGGAACACCTTACCAGTGAATCAAGAGAAAGAAGTTGTTATTTACAGGATACAGAAAGGTTATAAGTTGGTGATGGTAACTTTTGTTGTGGGGAAAAATTTGTTGTTACATGGTTCAAGATTGTTGTTTGGGATTTAAGACATTTCCTTTAGAGCCGAAGACTTGTAAGGGTCTTACAGTAAATTTGTGTTTTTCAGTTGAAAGACCTGCATTAGCAAAGCTTTGGGTAAAATAGCACTTGGGTTGATTATTGTGCTTAAAAAGTTTTGATTCTTTTTGAAATAGAGAACTATACTCTATAAAAGGAAGATTAATTATTCAAATAGGATCCTGATTTGTTTTGTACCCTTGTGTGTATATTGTATGTAAAACAGTAATTGCAATGGAAATTGAATGAATTACAGAACAATGTCAGGCATTCAAGAGGCTTGGTTCTCTCACTAAACCCACATTCTTCTCAATGCCTCTGACCAGCTACCCCACCCCCCTTATATTCACAATTTAAACCCTACAAAATTTATTTTACTCAATCCCCAAATTACCCCCAAAGCTCAAATAGCATAGTTGGGCATATCAAATTCATATAAATTAAGTGGGAAATGTCCCGAATAAATCCAATGAGTAACTAATAATCCTGTTATGCTGGAAAAATTCATTAGCATGCGCTTTTCTGACAAACCGTAGAGTTTATGATTTCATCAACTAAGCCAATTGTCACCAGTTCGCATCCCCTCAGGGCCACTGAGATGAGTGTTCGATTGTAAATTTCAGGGCCTCGTAAGATTAGTTGAGGTGCATGTATGTTGGCTCGGACACCCACGTTCATAAAAAAAATATATATATATATAAGAATAAATGATATCATCAACTAAAAAGGTTGTCAACCGATTTGTAATTACAATTGAAACCCTCGAAAAAAGTGAGTAAAAATGAAAGGAGAAAAATTAAGTAAATTAGAAGAACAGTGGAAGAAGGATTCAGCGTATAGTTTTAAAATTTGTTGCAGGTTATTGGGAATTGAGGTACTGATGATTCTGTTTGTTGAGATATATTACACTGGTATGATATAGCCATATTGAGACATCCATTTTTATATTATTCTGGCTCTTTAAAAACAATGAAATACAGAGAGATTTTCTGTGCAGGTTTTAGATATGATAAAAAATCCACATTATTTGTACCGGATGACTGTTCTAAGTGCAATCTCGTTACTTGCCCCAGTCATGGGTCCTGAGATAACATGTTCTCAGCTGTTACCTGTGATCGTTACAGCATCAAAAGACAGGTAGTTATATTTTCTGGTACTTCATTGGTTTTATGTTTGGTTTTATTTATAATTCATGTCATTCTGTCATTTAACAGAGTGCCCAACATTAAATTTAATGTGGCCAAGGTGTTGCAGTCCCTCGTTCCCATCGTCGATCGACCGGTGCGTTTAGTTTCTGCATCTCAGTACTTTTATTTGGCACATTAATGCAATGTAGTTCCAGTTCCTCATATGCTTCTCGTTATTGAAATTTAACTTGTAAACTGGTCCCTATGAGTTGGGATCTGCAATCTTGAACTTGCTGCCCCCTCCATCCAATATATTTTCGACGCTTCTTGGCAAATGGGAAGACGCCAGAGTGTAATGTCCCGAGGTGTCATAAAATGTGTTGGGGGTCTAAATTTATTCCCTGGAATCTATTTTTCTCTGCTTTTTTCAACTCTCTGAAGATTCTTCTTGCTCTGAAGGTTGTGGAGACAGCCATCCGACCCTGTTTGGTAGAGCTTGCCGAGGACCCTGATGTTGATGTTCGTTTTTTTGCCAATCAAGCACTTCAGTCAATTGATAATGTCATGATGTCAAGCTAGACGAGTTCCTTCTCTGGAAATTTTATTGCTGAAGTTTTTTTTTGGATGTCCTTTTTATTTAGTTCTTCAACTATTTTTAGCAGTGTGCGGCTCTAATGCAGACGACGGTTTGTTTGCTTCTGAAGCATTTTACTTGTAAAATGGTTGCATGTTTATGGAAACGCTAATCTTTAAGGAAAAGGGCAAGATTTGCTTCTTGGCCTTAAAAATGATGTGAATGTGGTATTCCTGGCATGTGTTAAACGAGTTCCTATTTTTATTATTGTTATAAATAAAATAAATTTCTAAGCATAAGTTAAGCAATCAGTTTTTACTGTGGAAGATTAAGAAGTTATGGATAATGTTATTTGCAGTCGTTTACTATCGCAGTTGTCCTACATAGCATTCATGTGACGATTAGTAATTTGTTACATAAAATAATATAAAATTATCACATTAATGTATCAAATCATTAATTGTCACATGTATGACACGTAAGACGATTATGGCAGTAAACGATTGCAAACAGCAAGTTATTTATGTACTTGTAAGTGAAACTTTAAAGCAATAAAGACTGCTGCAATGTTTTCAAGAGAAGATTTGAGGATAGAAGATAACGTATATACCACACAAAAGTTAATAGGTGAATAATGTGATTGGATATTGCATAATGTGGATGCTTTTTGTTATCAATGAATTTGACAAATAATTATAATTTTTTAATAGATACGCATATTCTAGAACAAATTGAGTTGTAATTATTCTTTTTGATAGTCCAATAAGGGTGGTACACTTGTGCTCTTTTGAGATGCCGTTGAGTTTTGAGCTCATCGAATCTAAAAGCCACATTTAAAATGAAAATTCTCGATATGAAAATGGTTTTGGTCGCTCAGAATTTTCGTAGCGCGAAGAGCAAAAGTGGCTGGAAACTTTCATAGCCTTGAAATCATAAACAGAACCATGCTCGAACCTGAACGTCTTTCAAGCCTTTCGAGGGTGTTTTCGGTATACTTTTGGCTTGAACCGGAACCTAGACAGTCCCCCAATTTTGTTCAGCTAAAAAAAGGGATTAAAATTTACGTTAAGGTTAACAATGAAATTTAACTCGACATTTCAAGGGACCCACAATTTTTCAACCATGCATTTCTTTAATTTTTATCAAAATTTACTAAAATTTTGATTTTTTTTTATCTAAGCCAAACAGGATTGTATATACCTTGTCTTTGACATAGAAAGGCAGGGCAATCACTATTTACACTTCAGAATATTCATTTGAGCACATTGACGAGGTTTTTGAGATTTGGTTTGAAGAGGAAGAAGAGAAGGTGAATATTGGAGCTCTATCTTTGTTTGTGTAGGAGTATGATGTAACCAAGCCATGAATATTTAATTTTTTTTTTCTTTCAAGTTTTAATATTCAAGTAAAAGTTCATATTGAGTTTTTAATATTATTCGTAATGCGTTTAAGCTCTGATTAAATTTTAGTTGATTCTTAAATATCATGAATTTGGTCAAGAGATACAATCCTATTATTTATGGGTCGTCTTCGTGAATTTTATTGTTGGTTAATGCACTTTTGTACGATCTTCCTTATTGATTATTACGTATTGCCATAACTTGATAAGTCAGATTGAATATGATTAGCTACGTTAAAACCGTACTCTTTAACATTGATCATTAGGATATTTCTCATGTTGATATTGTTGATTGACTTGCTTTAGTTTTCGTTATTTTGCTAATATTTATTCAAAGATTCACCATAATTTGGTTCTTGAGATAAATTTAGGATTAAGCGAATTTTGATACATAATAATGCAACCTTGTAGGATGAAACTCTAATTACATATATAGTTTCTTACTTGTTAAGATATTATGATTACATTATAACAAGAAGGGCGAATTCAGTCAAAGTATAGTTTAAATTCTATATTTTGTTTCCCGAAATATACAGTAAACTTCAGAATAATATGACCAAGGGGAAGTTTATGGAATTTATTTATTTATTATTATTATTATTATTATTTTATTTTATTTTTTATTTAATTTTTTGGGGTGGTGGAAAATGAAAAATGTCTACTATCATATTTTAACGAAAAATGCCTAGAATAGCATGCAAAAAGTCTAAGTTGCCTTTTCCCCATAAATGTCCACCACATTTTGCGGTCCAGATATCATCCACGTTGGTAGTACAAACACTATTGTGTGACCAAGATTCGAGGTACTATGATGATATGTTGAAAAGTGCACGAAAATATACTTTAAACACCAAATTATTATGCTAAAATGTCGAAAAGCGAATAGAAATCACAAAAATTAATTCACGTTCTTGAAGTGTTATTCTAGTTACTATAAGATAATTTTTAAGCCGATTCATGCGTTTAATTTCAGGTTTTATCCAAATGGAGAGTAGATCTACAAAAATAAATAAATAATAATAATAATAAAAAAAAATTAATAATAATAATAATAATAATAATAATAATAATTTGGTCAGCACTTTGCTGAAAAAGCACAGAACGGGAAGAATGAAGGGCAGCAACGCCGGTCATGGAGAAAATGTTTCAACTTTTTGGACTCTTTTCTGGCCCATTCGAATTCAAATCTTTGGGGGAATTTAAAAGCGCGAAATGACAACTCTAAATGACACTTTTTGAACAACAACTGAGGAGGAAAAACAAGAGGAGATGACCAACAATTTTTTGAAGAACTAAACATCTTGGTGAAACTAGAAAGGAACTCAATTGGATTCGGTGATTTGGACATTACTTGATTCATATATTTAGATTTTCATTTTAAACAATTCTTTAGAACTTCTTTTCATAAAAGTATTTTGAGATTGACTAAACTTTTATTAAATTCTTTGTAGACCTGGTTACGCTTTCTCTTTTAAATTATTGATATACTCGTTTAAGTTTTATTCTCATTTATCAATTTTTACCGAAATGATTCATTACTTTTTTATGCTTTAGATATATGATTGTTTTTGAATCTCGTTCTATTAATATAAGTACGAATACTGTGGTAGGAGAGCTAAATCTTTAGAATTACAATTGAAATAAACTAATTTTAATGGCATTTCTTCCGATTATAGAAAGTATGTTGAACATCTCTAATTGAGTTATAAGAATGAATCATTGATGTTGAATGGCCTAATCCAATTAAGGAAAGTCTGACGCTTCACTTTTTCAAGCCCTGATTTTATTTTCATTCAAACAAATAAATTCTTTTCACATATTCATAAGAGCTTTCACCTTTGGATTCTTTAAGTATTTTTAACTATCTCTCCATGGAATTGACAAACCAAAGCCGTGCTACAACAGTCGCGTTATTCTTTGGGTTTAATCAGATTTTGACACCGTTGTCGGGGTCAGTACAATAAACTAAGGGATTTAATTGTAAAAGGGTGACTTCGTTCATTTATTATTCTTTATTTGATTTATTTTTATTCTTTATTTTCACATTATTATGTTTTTGTGTTTTATGAGCAAATATCAAGACGAGCAAGGAAGATTCTCGTAGACCCTACACAGCGTTCGAATCTCTTTATACCTATTTTCGATATTGCATCTATTGACACAGACACCATATTACACAACACCATGAGTAAAAGTGAGCACGAAAATCTGCCTTAGAGAACTCTTAGGATTATCTTCGTCCCACACACACACATCCATATCATCATCTATTATTTTTCCACCTAATATGCCACGTATGGATTTTAAACTGAAGAATGATTCAACTTCTTTCCACTTTCACAGACTTGAAATTGAAAACCTGTATGTGTATATTAGAAAGTGAGGAGGTGGTTGCAACCTTCTATTTATCAATATAATGACCCTTTTATTTATTCAATATTTACTTTCAAAAAGATACTCAGAAGTTGTTTGACAAACGTTTTAATAAATGTTTTATTATATTTTAATAAAAGTTTATTTATGTAGTTGAAAAGTTAATAAAGTTGTGGACTTTATGCAATGTGTGATTAAAATTAAAGAACAAAATCTGGTTGTATGCAATGTGTGATTAAAATCTAAGTCAACATGGTACAGTGAATGCAGTCAGACTTAATTTTTTTTTCCATTTTCACTTAAACAAAGAACAAAAGCTAGATGTATTCACTGGACCACCTTTGATTGGAATATGGGGTGAAACGGATCAAGCTTTTTTCAGTAAATACTTCTCCCATCATAAGATTAGTGCCCGAAAAAGCAAATTTCTTCTTTTGCTCAAAAAGATAGTGAGACCTTATACCAAGCATGGGAAAGATAGAAAGAATTATAAAACTTTTGCTCCCATTATGGTTAAGAGAGTTGGTGTACTATGAGTTATTTATTTATTTATTTTTTATGAAGGATTGACACCTAAGGAGTGTCAATTTGTTGAGATGATGAGTGATGATAAGTTCTTGCAAGAAGACCCAAATGAGGCCATAGAGTACTTGGATGGCCTCACTAAAGACACTCACATTTAGATTGGACTTAGTACTTTTGATAGCACTAACAGGTTATGACATGTAGGAAACTCTTCTACCACAAATATTGATCATCTTAGGGAGGAAAATTGCCTTAAGCCAAGGTAGAAGCCCTTATGAGAGAACTTGAAAGCCTACATGCTAAGGAATCAAATCCTAGACATATTGTTGCCCCTGTTGAGTCCCGTGGACCTTGTGTATGTGTGGTGGAATTGATCATCTAGTGCAAGCACTCTAACTGAGATGAGAAGGGTTTTTAAGGAACATTGTAATGCTTCAGTTATGTAAAAGAAACCCCTATGCTCCTTTTTCTAATAGCTATAATCAAAGATGGCTGAATCACTCTAATTTTAGTTGAAAATCTAAAAAACAACAATCTGCCCAGGTATCTAGAGCTTACACTACACCTTCATATCAGCTCACATCTTCTAGGAATTCTTTAGATGACACTTTACATGCATTTATAGAGGCACAAGATAAGATCAATCAGAAGTTTGAGACTATGGTTACTCAAGTTGTTAAGGATAACAAAGAGATGAAAAATCATATATTTAAATTGACCAATGCCTTAGTTGTAGTGGAACATGGAAAATTTCCAACTTAGGCTCAAACAAATCTTAAGGGACAACACATGATACAAACCTCAGGTTTAGAAGAAAACAACCTTAAGGAAATGAATACCATCACCACTCAAACTGGGAAGGTTATGGAACCAATCCCCAAGTCTTGGAAAAATGAAAAAGACTCTAGTAATTTTGAAAAGAGCAGCCCTAGTAAAGAGGTAGTGGAAAAT